AGCTTGCTAAGGAATATTCTTTCATTCTTTCTTGCTTTTTGTTTTTGTTTTTCTAAGTTATTTAATTTTTTTTAATGTGTTTATTTAAGGTTGGTCTTGTAGGCCGACTGATGAGACCATCTTTGCCTTGTCTTTGCCAGCAGCGTACTTATTGTCTCCTCTAGACCCATAGTCATTAGAACCGGAATCGCTCCGCTTGCTGTTTGCGCTATGCTTGGTTGGCGTGCCGGGGGGGTGGCTCACCTGCCCGTTCTTCTCGTCTGAAAAAAGTTGTTTAATTACGTCAAAGAAGTTACTCAATGGGCTGCCTGGGTACACAAAACAGAGGAGACAAAAAAAGAAAGAAAGAAAGGAAGGAAGAAAGAAAGAAAAAAAAAAAAAGGACAGAAAAGTTTGAAAATTTATAATCCGAAAGAGAAAAGAGGAGAGAAAGAGAGAGAACAAACAAACAAATGAACAATGGGGTTTTTAACGAGAAGAACATGATGAGGAGATCCAGAGCCACGTGCGTGGGGGTGTGTGGGGGATGAAGACAATGAGCAGGAAGAGGAAGAGTGTTTAGGATGGGACACCTACAGAAATAAAGAGGCTGGGAGCATTAAGCACCTCGGGGGAGGGTCCTAGCTTTCTCCGCAGTGGGGGAGCATTGCCGCCTCATCTAGCAGGAGGATACAGTGCCATGCCCAGACTATCGCTTGGCCGCTCTGCACTGAATTGTCGGTGAATGTAACGCTGGCTACAGGCAAATCCCACCTTGCTGCTGCTGTTACAAACACGGGGTGTTTGTCTGTGGTCGCCAACTGACGCTCTGCTTCGCAGAGCTCTGGCTACACCAGCCATTAGGCCTTTTTTTGCTTCCACTGTATTTCTGAAGAAAGAATCTCCTTGCTCACCTTTCAGTTCCTAAACCTGAAGCACCTGAGTGCCTCAAGGGAAGCAGCACCTGAAAAATGAGCTACAGCTGACACGAGCGCTGCCGTCTGCATCTGTGGCTTGTGTCTGGTACTTGCAAGCTTCTAAGCACCTTCAGATCCTTCTTACGACAGGTACCTGGAAATGAAGATGCTGAATGCACTGCAAAAGGAGGCTGTTATGCATCTATCTGGGACCTACCAGGGTCAAGAACCCCTTCCTCGTTGTCCTGAAGGTATGTTCTTGCAACAGCACCGCCCCCATGACGCCTGCATCCACTCCAGCGCGGCTAGGAGCCAGAGAGGGCGTAGGGTCGCATGCTGGCACAACAGCCCCCAGAGCAGGTTGCAGTATTAACGTGGCTTGGGCACTGCGTGCATGAGCACAGTCTCTCGTGCCACGAGGACTTCCAGGCAGCAGGGCTGTATGCCGTTAAGTCCTGCGTCGGAGGATGTGCGGATTGCCATGCCTGAGGAAAGGCTCTGGGGTGCTACCGCGGGAAAGGGACCAGCTGCTACTGGAAAGGTAGCCTTCTGGGGGAACTTCTAGCCCCTTTTCATTTCCTGGGATTGGGGGATTAATCCTGATCAGACAGAAAAGGGGTCACACTAAACTCTCTGTACATGGATACCAAGGTGGTTTTTATCAAACATACACCACGGAGGTGATGCTTTCCTGACCATTAAAACCCCATGATGCTTTTCTCACTATTGAGACTGTTGGCTCCATTGTTCTAACAAATTCAGATCAATTATGTCCCACCTAAGTAATTTAATTCTCCAGCTGCCAGAAGGAAACGGGCTCCTTGTATCTGCCTTCCAATGCTGTAGTATGCAGCAAACCTTTTGTCCCCGAGATGGGAACATTAAGTCAGGAGCAAAGGAATTTCTTCATAGCAGAGATTGGCATTTATCCACAGTTGGTGGACGCTGGTGGCTTGGTAATACTGTATTTCCCTGCACTTTCATTACAAATATAAGCAAACCAGTTACTACAGCAGGCAAGTACTTTCTGTGCACGGTAACTTGTCTGAAGAGCTTATTGAGTGCTTTCTTATTCTCTAATGAAAAATGCTAGACAGACATCAACTGCTCTTACACAAAGACAGGAAATACATAGTATTTGTGCCCTGCAAAGCTGAATGTGTCACTGTTTTCTTCAGCCCTGTGTTAACCGGGTAGTTGCTGCATGTTAACAGGCATTGAGAAATATCCAATGGCTAGCATAGATAGTGAAAGATCTTAATCTTATCAATCTAATTCATTCCTTGTCTTCCTCTACTTGCTGCTTAATGGTTAACGTACTGCTGGCCCTGGTTTTGTCCGTGTATTCAGTTATACCAACGCCACAAACAAATGGCTGTTCATTTCTGGAAGGCCAAGGGCATCATTCACCTAACTGACTGTAGCCTTAGGAATGGGCCCAAACAAACAGCCAGGCAGAGCACGTATTTCAATTTCTGGCTAAGAAGAGAAAGGCTATCAAATTCACAGTCGTTTCAGGGTCAGACCTATGTGAGCTCCACCCGCTTCCTTCCACATGCATGCAAATGCTTTGGAAGGGGCATAGCTATTACTTCTACTTCAGAGATTTCCCTAAGCCTCCCTAAAACTGTTTTAGGTTTGTGGGCGCATGCTCTGCTCAGACTCGTTTTTATCTGCTCAGACTAATTTCTACTTCTTTTAGGTGGATACTCTTCTTCAATGAAAAGAAAGAAAACAGAAAGCAAACACTCAGCCTTGAGTGCAGGAGTGTGGGCAGATCTGGTTCTTATGTGGCTTTGGACCCCTCATCTTCATAAGCAAATGGAGTCAGCAGAGAGAATGAAAAAGAGCACTGAAAAAAATGCTGGAGAGGGAAAGACTGCTAGGTTGGGAGAAAAGGGGAGGGGAATATCTCTAGTTATTCAGCTGAGCAGTTTATTCAACAAGCTTAGAGGGAAAGAAGAGGGCAGAGTAAGCAGGGCTCTGCAGGAATCGGGGAAGTTTTTTGTTTTCACGTGGACAGGAACAGCAGACAAAAGCACAACTTGCGAGAATGGAGCAATAAAACATTTAAAAAATTATATATCTTGTATTTGCTGAGTCCTGATACAGGGTTTTTAATCATCCTATTCAAATATGCAGCCCCTGTTTCATCCACCCTTTCTCCTCCCCATGCCCTACTGGCTTTCAAGGGCCTGAAGATTTACTGCAGCACAAGTACTTAACTGTCTGCTTTTCTTTGCCTGTGTCACTACTGGATTCCTTACAATCAGCATTTTCAGGTACAATTTTAATGGGAGGTAAGAAATCCTTAGGGATGTTTCAAGAGAGCTACTGAAAATTAAAATAGGCCATTTCACTAACCCTTTCCTTCCTTTGCCTTTTGTAGCATCTGGACTTGTAATAAATTCTGGGTAATAATGCTCTGCTGTCCTGCAGGCAGGAAAGAACTGATCCTACACCAAGCAATACAGACACTCCACTGATGTCATCTACATGATGGCTTGTTAGCCCACTCCTGAGCTGGTCTAGATACTGGTCTTCGGGTAGACAAAGATTCCTCACATTTTTCTCTGGAGATATGTAAACATGGGTCAGCTATGCTGGAAGCATGAAAATGGTGCATGGTGTCGCTCCTTTTACTTCTCAGTTCCCCTTGGGCTTACACATCCGGTAAAACAAGACTTGAAAATGCAGGTGATGATGGATTAGAATAGCTTTTTCAGCAATCTTCCACTCCTAGCATTCAGTGCACAATTGTGTGATAAGCTCTAACACCTGTAGGTCCATCGGGGGCCTCAAAAAGGCTGCCTCTCTCATTTCAGAAAGTGAGATGACATCCCATTTTCTCTGGACAGGGAGGAAGGTTTGGCTCCCTGATTCTCAAAACTTCCCTGGTATTTCATGCATCTGTAACTAAGGTCGTCTTTCCCCTTGAGAGCAAATGTTCATCAACACAGAGCGAAGAAGGCATGAAGGGTAGCAAGAGTGAGAAACTGTGGGAAGGATCAGAGGCAGGAGGGGAGGGTCAGAGCTTTAGGTTTGCATCTACTGGGAGGAGATGGGAATGTGCATTTGAGTTAGACCAAGGAGCTGTATGCTGCAAGATGAAGGGGAATGGGTTTGAAAACAAGCACTGAAGCTTATGAAAGGGTCAGGTATTGAAGGAATGCTACAGAAATATATTTATGGAGAAGGCACTGGTTTATGGCACCTGTGTGCAGCACTGTCATGGCCAAGTATCACGAAAGAAGTTGAAACTGTGAATGCATTTGAATACAACAGGCACTAAAAGGCAGAAACAGGGCTGGAGACAGACACAAAAATGCAAAAGGAGGCTGGGCAGGTGGCTTGTATCAACCCTCACAGTCCTCAGTATTTCATCTGCTGTCCTTGGGAAGTCTGTCTGGCATTCACCTAGCCCCAGTGGTGTCACAGGTTTGGGAAGTGGAACACCAGGTAAGAGAGGAACCAGAAAATGAGGTGATTCACTCCAGGCACCAGAAGTGATACCAGGAAAGGATGCACCTTGCAAAAACTCTGCCCTGGCCTTGCAAAGATCCTCAGTTCTCCACAGAAAGTAACAGGAGGTGGTGAACAAGCAGCTTCAGGACAAGCCTGAAGGCTTCAGTCACTAATTCGAGCCTGCTGTTTTGTAACATTTTAAGACAGTCAGATAAGGACTTGGTCCTGTTTTCACTGAAGCAAATAGCAGTATTCCCACTGACTTAATGGAAGTAAACCCTGAGGTGCTTCCTTCTCCAGTGAAACCTTCTCTCTCAAGTCTATGTATTTTTAATGCACTAATCCTTGTGCTGCTGAACACAAAGTTGCACAAAACAACTATGCCATTTGTGGGATTATCCTCTGCCTTTCCTTGCTGTATAGCCTGAGAAATTTTGGCTTTCTGCATTTTTAGCTTAGGCTTTGGGAGAAAGTGAATGGGAAAAGATAGGTCTCCACTGGAAGCAGACACCCTTTGTCATCCTGATTTCCCATATTCCTTCCCTTGTTGCTTTCACATCCTTTCTGACTGTGTTCTGCCTGCCTCTGATACTGAGGTTTTCTTCCTGTACTCATTCCTTTCCCTTTAACCCCTTGTCTTTTTGATACCTAGCTTGCTCTGTATTTTGATAGCAGCTGTGGTTTCAGTGAACCATGTAACAAAAATCCAACTCCTTTCACATAAAGCACTGAAAAACTCTCTTTGGGTGATAATCCATTCCCTCTCAAACCTATTTTGCTACTTTGACAGAATTCTAGCCCTCTTTGGTTTTTTGCCTGTTTGCTTGGTTTCTGTTGGCAGAGTTCCTTCTGTCTTCAAAACCAGAAATCTTTAAATATAGAACCCACTTTAAGCGTATACACAGGAAAAGGGATGACAGAAAGATACAAGTGGCCTATTCCTCTTT